TGGCCATGCATAGAACTGTCATGGAGGATCAATCCTCATTCCTCAATAAATATATAATGACCAGGTTTCCAAACAGATCATTTGACAATCCAAAATCTGTCCATTCCATTCAGTCGGCCACCTGGCTCTCCTTCCGTCTGACCCAGCATCAAGTCAGCACGGATCATCTCCTAATGAGAATAAAGAGGAAAACACATCAAGTAAAATAACTCTGAGTATTACAGATGTTGCATTTGTTTTTCTTCACACATTACCATTTGGCAACAGATGGGTAATACAGAGACAATGCCTGCAATAGCTAACGCACTAGTGCTCATTTGGCAACAGATGGGTAATACAGAGACAATGCCTGCAATAGCTAACGCACTAGTGCTCATTTAAACAGTGATTAGCATCTTGCAGGAGGCTGGTGCAGTGCCCGGACGATGACAGCTCCTCATACAGTACAGCAAGTCCCTGAGGTACCACTACACCAAGCCTCAGAGAAATGAGAGTCATTGTGCCATGTTTCATCGCACCCATGTATTAATGATGCTAGCAGGCCGCACATGGCAGACCTCAGCAATACCACCGTTTGTCTGCCGGCCCTCTGTAGCAAAAACAGACCAATTCTAATAGTGTAAATAGCATGTATGTAATTGCAGCATTTCTGGAGCTTACGCCAATTATGTGCTATAGGAGGTAGTCACTGGGGTGACCCTCAGCATAATGACCCAACTCAGGCCTTATAAAGTATTCAGGACATTGACTGTTCATTCATGAGTGTGAGACTGAGGAGGAAGGAGATAATAATGAGCATTAGCCAGGCTAGTGTATTCATTTGTGACAATGATGACCCAAATAGTGTCAGGGGTGACAGAGCCATGTGTGAGAGAGGATATAATAAGTTGCCTGTGTTGTAAAGAGTAGTGCAGCTTGATATGATCAATAACATTTTATAATCAACCCAGAGTCATCCTGGTAACCAATGAAGTGAAGCTAAAATGGAGTATAAGATTGTGTTCTACACCAAGATCCCATCAGGAAAGCAGCTACAGAGATGTGGACAGAGTATCTGGAAATAATCTGCTGGGTTCGACAGCTTTGAGGCATAATGGAGGAGAAGCCTGGGTTGCAGTTTCAGGGGTGAGCCCAGGTGTTGTAAAGTTATAGAAAACACAGCACAGCTGCCTTCAAATGTTTTTTTCTGATTTGGGATAAGACTTGAAATTAATTCTGGGTTTGTTCAGACATCAGGCGTTTAGAGAGGTTTTTTGAAGCAAGGCTGAATGAGGTGCTTATCCACAATCTGTGTATTACATGCAGTAGATGACAGAGTGTTCCCAAGGTATTAGCAATTAACTTGACTGTGTATCTTACTAGTATAACCTAAAATGATGGCCAAACAACAAAATAGCAATGGAGTTGTAATAGACTAGAACCCTCTTTTAATTAAGTTATTCATTTTCGGAATAAAGAGTGTTTGTGCATGCTGACTGTCGTTGGTTTTCTCGTCTAACACATACAGTACAACTAAGAAGAAGGATTTTCTGCTGCTTATCTTGTTATTTTATTTTTTCATGATGCCATTTCCTAGTCCCCTTGCAGTCATCACAAGAGACGCCATCAGTGACAGAACAGGACAGTATCTGCCATGCTGTGTGGTGATTCTGTCAACAGTCTTGTCCTGGTTTGCTGTGTTGCTCTTGTTTCACAAACTTTCCCTTTCTACAATGAGAAATGACGAGACAGGACAGCAGGGTTAGAACAATATAGGGTCTTATAACCGGGATTTTGGATTCACAATAATCTATAGGAAATAATTAATAATATATAGGAAAAAGTAAGAAGAATGGACATGCTGCGCACTGTATTTTCTAGGTAAAGAGACTATTGCATTCAACTATTATCAACAAAACAATTGTACTACACACAATCATGAAAAAATAATGTTTGTATAGAAAACAACCCTGAATGGATCTCAAGGAAACAGCTCGCTCCAACATTTTACAAAACAATAATGTAAAGAATCAGTGCAGCAAATATATGTTGGTTTTTCAGTTATAAAAGAAAGAAAATCTGACTGGCTATGAAACGGTCCGAAAAAGCGTTTTCAGTTGTTTTATGGGCCTTGTCCTGGCACACAATAGAGTGTAAAATGTAAATCTAATTTCAAGATGTATGCCAAGATGATTTGAGATTGTAACAGCTGTGCGGCTGTAAAGCAATTTAGCCTCCTCCCAAAAAAAATGCTCATTATCTTTTAAAAGTCTGCATCTGCATCTTCCATGATATTTACAGGCAGCTGAAAAAAGAATACAGCAAAAATATGGTGTATGTGTGTGTGTGTGTGTGTGTGTGTGTGTGTGTGTGTGTGTGTGTGTGTGTGTGTGTGTGTGTGTGTGTGTGTGTGTGTGTGTGTGTGTGTGTGTGTCAAATCTACATAGTTGAGTGTTTTCACTACAAAATAAAATGTACTTTAGATCTTTTCAATAACATACACGGACGTTACATATCTTCCATAAATGGTGCAATATGCTGTTTTGACCAAACTCTAAAGAAACAGTTGCTGGCAGATGCTTCAGTGACATGCAGGGTTGACAGTAGACCAGGCATTATGTTCTTCAGGGTCTGCGTGTTAAAGTAAAATAGTATTTTTTCTCGACTGGGATTCTCTTATAGAGGTCAGATTGTTTTCATCGAATGGCATGTTTTCCTGTATAGTGTTTATTTGTCCCAATCGCGAAACTATTTAGAAAAAGGTGTTGTAAGTAATGCCAGTATCCTCTGTTTGACTTGATTAACTTTGATAAATACTCTCATACTTTGTGCTAACAAAGAAAGGAATGTTCCCATTACAATATTTAGAGCCTGAGCAAACACATTTGTCCCTGAGATGTGATGTCGTGTTTTTTTAGAGAACTCTGCACAGCAGCACCTTGTATTAGACCTTGAATTCCTTGGTCCACTTTATTATTGGTTAGGTTTTTTTATTGTCTTTTAGTATTGATTGTATTCCTGTTTCTAAGAGGGGACTCATTCAATGGTTAATGTTTTGGTTATTTTATACATGAACAATATGGCCTTTATGAAATCGATCTTCCCTGTAAACATTAATGCGGTGAACATTTCTATCAGTTATTCTGGGGGAACCAGAAGAGAGAGTAGACAAGGCATATAGAGATATGAAACAAAGAGAATTACCACAGTGAGTCACAAAATGACATTTTAAACATCACAGATTGATGATACACATAACTGTATGAGACAATGTGAGGTTGTATATTTTCTTGAGATTTCCATCTCCTTATTTAGCATTTGCATGACGAAAGAGGCCATTAGCTCTCATTATGCTTGTTGATTGAGTTCACCAACAATATAGCAAGTAAAACTCTTGAATTGAAACTTGATTAAGAGAAACCAATGACTTGTAACATCTTTATATTCCAAACATTTCATTTGTCACCTCATAAGTGGTGCAACAAATACATTAGAGGCAAGAATTCGATAGAATTGTGGAGCTACTATTCACCATCCAAATCACTGGTATTCAGAAGATATTGTGGTGCCTGAAAATTACTGTAGGAACTGTAAGCGGTGAGTGGGCAGCCTGCGTGTTCCAGAGCATATGTCACAGTGTGTTAGCGTCCTAAAACGTGTTACTTACGCCTGTCATGGCCGTCCTGGCTGCCTGTCAGTCCAGCCGTGATGTGAGACAGTGATGCGTCGTGTCTGTCCAGTTCATTGGCCCAGAAGACCTGTACACACACACACACACACACACACACACACACACACACACACACACACACACACACACACACACACACACACACACACA